GCCAGAGGAGACACTGCCTAAAAGATAACACTTGTATTCGCCACAAAAAGTGTCCATTACAGTTTGTGTGACTGGTTTAATATGTACACTCATGGTGTTCAGAGTCAAAATAAAGCTGAGGTACCAATTTCTTTACATTGTCCAACTCGAATTTTCCCACAGATTAAGTAGTAAGTTAATATTTTGAGATATTGATAGGTTGCTTTTTTTTCTTTCCCTCTGTTCCTTTGCACTAGTCATGTTTTCTTAACCATCAAGTAACAGTACCTAGCAGGCCACAGGTAGGATGTCAGCAGGCCACTGCTGGAATCAGGAAATAAGTTGCTAGCATTATAGGTGTGAGCCATCGGAGCCTGGCTCAAAACAGGGCCTGAATTCAGAGCTTGTGCTTGTTAAACAGGCTTTCTACCACTTGAGCCACATCTCCAGCCCTTTAGTGTTGCTTTTTTTCCCCCATTTCTTGGAGTTCATTTTAATGAACATCATTTTATGTGATCATATGCACATAGTTTTTTTTATGAAATAGGCTTTTGCTTCCTGTGCCTGGACCACAATCCACCTACTTTAGGCTTCCTGTGGTAATTGGATGAGAGGTATGTATTACCCCATTCAACTTTTTTCCTTTGAGATGGAAGTTCTTGGAATTTTTCTATTCAGGCTGACCTGGAACTATAATCCTTCCAATTTCCATTTCTCACTTAACATCTTCTTTTTTATTCACCTTGCATATAATTCTTTTAGATTTGCCTCAGGAACACAGAATTCCAGTGTAGACCCAATAATGCCTAAGAATTTATTAAGCATCAAAGAAAGTACAAGATTAGTGTGCTATCTCTGCAGGTAGGTGGGGTCTGGACAGTCTCACACTGGAGTGGCCATAGTTATCATCCCAACCAGATCTTGTTTTGAATGCAGAAAGAAAGCAGTGGTTCTTCTAGGAAACATAAGTGGCCAAGGAACCTGTCACACATGCCCTTTCTTACTCAGATAGCTTCACTGGATTTGTGGGTCATTTGTGCTGAGAATGCCAAGGGAGAGAAACAGCTTAGACTTCCTTTTCTTTCCAGTCTTGCACACACAGCAGTAAGCTGAGGACCATGTTGGTAGGATTCTATTAACTCAAGATAGGCATTAATGTTCAAGTTGTTTGGTGCAGTGTTCGCTTAGCTTCTATTAGCAATGATATATATGATGTTTACTCTTGATGATTTGGCCTGAGATCAATGCTCTGGCAATTTCATGTCCAATGGGCATTGGACAGTACAAATAAAAACACTAAAGCTCAAGTTAAATTTAAATTTTTTCTTTAACTAGAATGACATCAAATAGTAAAAAGCATACTGTTACAAGTCTTGGAAGAGACTTCAGGAGAAAGGACAGTGCTTTCTATTTTAGTATATATATATATATATATACATATATATAATTCACTCATTTAAATTTTATAACACAAACGATTTTAGTATGTCCACAGATACATGCAACAATCATCATAATAAATCCTGGATATTTTCATGACCTCAAAAAGAAATGTTGCCAGGTGTCTGTAGCTCACACCTGTAATCCTAGTTACTCAGGAGGCTGAGATCTGAGGATCACAGTTTGAAGCCATTCCTGGCAGGAAAGTCCATGAGACTCTTATCTCCAATTCACCACCAAAAGCCAGAAGTGCTGTGGCTCAAGTGATAAGTGTCAAGTAGCCTTGAACAAAATAAATTCAGGGATAGTGCCCAGGCCCTGAGTTCAAGCCCCAGAATAAATACTTTAGCTACCATTGCCCTTACCCTTAGAGACCCCTTCCTTCTACCACTTCCTAAGCAAGCAATGATCTACTCTTGGCACCATAGATTCCTCTGTTCTATGAATAAAATCATAAAACATGAGAAACAAAATGTAATAATAATTTACCACTTTTGAGTTTCATTTAGGATTTTTAAAGCCCATGGTAGAAATAGCAATCTTGAAGAAGACTTGGTATTTTGAAGGATTTTTTAAAATGCTGAGTGTCTCAAAGAACAGAAAACCATAAAAGGCTCAGTTTATACCAGAAATCAGATTGTAGAAGATTGCATGGATAGAATAACAAGTCTTATCTCTCGGAGATAAGACTTGACCAGCATAAACTCAGAATTAAATAGGTTCCGAAGTGGCTTTGTGATTCGACAAAGAAACTGCACTGTCTAAATCAAAGCAATTGCAGGAACAACACAGACAGAAGGTGCTCAAGAGCAGCAAGAATGGATTGCATTTCTGTAGAGGCCAGAGAATGGCACTTGGACCAGAGCCCTACCACTGATGACAAAATAACTTCGGCCACCTAGGAACTTAGAGCACTTCTAAGGAGAAGAAAACAGGAAAAAGGAGCATTACCCACAAAGATACAGTGTTTTAAACAAGTGGCCTGTGTGAGAAAGACCATGGCGTGACTTGGATAAGATTTTAGGGTGCCCCTACGGATTCTTGTAAGGAGGACTTCTTGGAATGGTAGTGGGGTCTTTAAGAGCATTACCTAGGGCTCTCAGAAAGGATCAACATAGTTCATTTGGGACCCCAATTAATCCTCAATGGCCCTTTTGACCTTCAGTCTCGCAATGTGATTTGTCATTCTAGCATGTGTTCTCACCATCTTCCTGGATATGAGATAATTAAAAAGAGCCTTGCTGGAGCTGGTGCTATGCTATGTGGACATCTAGCTTCCCAAACTGTGAGCTAAATAAACTTCATGTCTTCAAATCACCCAGCTTCAGGCATTTTGTTATAGTAATAGAAAAAAAGACTAATTCAAGACATTAAACAGAAGAGCTCATATTCTAAGCTAGATGGATGAGTTATGTAGAAATAAAAATGGATAACTTCAATTTTCCAACTTTAGACTTTTATGGCTGTGCTGAAATAGCTACTAAATCATCAGGCTTGCTTTTATCTCAGGTTTCAGTTCTTCTTGGATAATCTCAAAACCATCATTACCTGAAATGGTTTTAAGATTAGAAAAAAAGGGGAAAAAAGTTTTTTCTTTCAAATAATTTAACTGTCATAAAATTTCAGATAGGTTCATGAATCATTATCAACAGTATTTTTTAAATGACACCAGACATTACTTTCTCAAATATGGAACATTATCTGAAGGAGATTAAACCTATTTGCTTTGCAACTTAATTGAACAGTGAATTTCCAAGCCCAGAGCTGGTGCCTTGTGCCTGTAATCCTATCTTCGCAGGAGGCTGAAATCTGGAGGATTGTAGTTCAAAGTCAGCCTGCATAGAAAAGTCATGGAGACCTCCTCTCCAATTAATCAATAAAACGCTTGGCTGGAGGTGTGGGTAAAGTAACAGAATACCAGCTGTAAGCAGACTAGCCAAGTGAGTGCAAGACCCTGAGTTCAAACTTCAGTAGCAGGAGGGAAAAGAATCTCCAGATGAATCCAGCTGGACCTGACTGCAGCCATCTGGAGGCTGAACTGCCGTGGTTGCCTCTGAGAAGCCTGGCCTGCTCTACAACCCCACCTTGCACCATTTCCTGGAGTCGTACTGATAAACCCAAGCATTTAGTGGTGTGTGCAACTTTTAGGACTGGGCTCTGGCACTGTCAGCACTAGAAAAACTCCTGATGGCTTCAGTGTTAGCTTGAGACAAATGAGGTATACAATAGCTTGGACAAAGTTACTTTTTACAAGCCCATTCTCTGATCCAAATTGGGGGCCCCACTAGTCTTGCTGCCACCCTTGACTGTTTCACTCTGCTGTACTGCATCCACCTGTCTGGTTTTTTTTTTTCCTTCTCTCATCACGGTCCACCGATGACAATGCTTTCACAAAATATTTTTCTAAAATAGTAATTCAGGATGTTAGTGATCATGTATGAATATCTTATTTTTAATTCCATCATAAACTCTAAAAGAAAGTAGAAAAGCAGAATTTTGTTACACTCTATAGCTGAAGTTATAAACTATGATTTTAAGAATGTTTGGACATGTAAATCATGCTAAAACATATCTAGATAGTCAGCATCTGATTCAACCTTGCCTCCAGCTGAGTCTAGTGAGTACTCCCTAAAATCTGCAGGTTTAATCATCTTCACTTGTAACTGTGTTTTGGAGTCACAAACCAAAGCTGATTATGTTATAGGATAAGCCATTTGAAGTGTTAAGCAAAATAAGCCATGCTAAGCTATGCTAAGACTATTAATGTCAGACATAATGAGATTATTTATATCAGGTTTTATATCAACTATGCTTACTGAATCTTGGGCATACAGAAAGTTGAGAAAATGAATATGAAATATCTTTTCTGATGTTGTTGCTTTGAAATCACTTAATCCTACAAATGCATATTTAAAAACTGTATTTAATACTTAATGTTTGTTTTGCTTCTAAATATCTGACTCTATGTAGTCTTTTATCTTAAAAAAAGACAACTTAGCATGTGATTTATTGCCAGGGATATAACATTTGCCTTTCATAAGATAAAAATGTTTGTTAGTCTATGCTAGTTAACACTTCTTTTAAGAGTTTGATTGTATGTTTGCTTTACATGATAACTTCAGTAGTAGAATAGGAATAAAGAATTTATAGACAGAAAAGAGAACAACAATTTTATGCATTACATTTGTTATTTAATAACAAAGAAAAATGATGTCTGCTTTCTAGATAAAGGAGAAAACTGAGTGAAATATGTGAAGCATTAAATATATAATATTACCATGAATATTAGTATTTATGGGCTACTATGAAAGCAGTTGTAAAAAAAAGCAAGATTTAATAAAAGTTTGAAAGACAACCATTTTTAATATATCAGCAATTCAAATCATTGAAAATTCAATTGTCACTTTCCTTCTAAATTTTTACATGGTAAATACAACATTCATGAATATAACTCACACACCTCAAATATTCATATAGAATCCTCTACTGTTCTCCTGACACACTGCCACTGTCTACCTATTGTTATCTAGTTTAGGGTAAGATTAGCACTTCAATCAACAGATAACTGATTAAGAAAAACAGAAATCTATTAAAACAGGCCTCTGACATGGGGAGTAGTTCTTAGAAATACAAAGGGAATGGAGGGTTGGTTCAAGTGGTAGAGCTCTTGCCTCGCAAGCATAACATCTGGAGTTCAATCTAATACTGCCAAAAGAAAGGAGAAAAAACACCAAAGTTTCATAATTTTGGTTGGTCCACATTGTCCTATGGCAGTTACTCTTTCATTCCAATGCATTTTCTTAATTCAGCTGCAGTTTTTTCCAATTGCTCAATGTTCCATTGCCATTGTCTTCTATTTGATTGAAGCCTGTTCACCTGACAATGCAAACGCTTAAGAATTGCATCATATCTTTTATGTTGTACCTATTAAAAGAATGGTACATATTAATAGGGCTCATGAAAGTAAATAGTAACTAGCTATAAAGGATATTGTGACTACTTGAAGAGGAAAGTACTTACTAGAAATTATTTATTACAAATTATTTATTACAAATAATATAAACAGTAATTGTATATACTCAACACTTGTTACATGTTAGATGTGCTAAAGGTTTTCTACGTATAATTAAGTTCTAATGATGTATTATTATCCTCTTTTTTTGTGAAGGGATTGAAGATCAAAGAATGATTTGACCAAAGCTGCCTAGCTAGCAAGTGATGGTGTTTTGAACTTTGAAACACAAATGAAGCATCCATGAAGAAATAAATCCTATTTGTCAAAGCTGTGAAAAAAAATGAAAACTTCTGTGAAAAAGAATAACTTCTATTTGTTAATGCTGTCTTACTGTAAATTTGTCCTAGAGCTGCCCCCTTATTTTGAGTCTCTATTTAATAAGCTGCTATCTAAATTAGTGTGTAAACTAAGAACCTAGTTTAGTAGTATACGTTTTGTAAGAGAAAAAAGAAAAACAACAAACCTGAGTCTCAGCTAATTACAGTAACCAGACTTCAATCACAGGCTGCCAGAAAATCCAACCATGCTCATATAAGAAAATGCTGAGCTGTAACCAAGCAGGCTGCTTCTGAACTTCACTTTCATTTACTCTGCTGAAATGTTGCCTGTCCCTATTACAGAACCTCTGCTGATTCTAATAGTTTCCTAATTCATAAATCATTCTCTGCTCAATTACGCTGTGTTGAATTTAATTTAAAGTTTTTTTTTCTTTTACTACTAGTGAAGAGAAATGGTTCCATTTCTTGTATTTGGGGCCTTATTGAAACATAGACCCAAACATAGGTCTTAAAGATCTAAGAGCTAATATAGTCTATTTCTCTACAATAAAGTAAATCAGTGTTTATGCTGAGCTAGTCAATGATAACCTAACAAACAATTAAGAACAGTAGAAATTGACAAGTTTTGGGTTCTAGCCACAGAAAGTGAAAATATCAAAATTCCAGATGCTAGCTTGAACTACATAAAGAATACCCATCTTTGTTTTTAACTCAACTTTATTAACATGTAATTCACTTAAGACAATCTACCCTTTCCTCTCGATGACTTTTAGTATATTCAAATTTGTGTTAGAATAGTCTCATTATCACTCACAGGAAACTGGTACCCATTAGCAATTACTATTCCCCTACTTCCACATTTCTCCTTGGCAACCGTTAATCTACTTTCTCTTTATATACGTGTGCCTATGTTGTCTTTTGTGTACAAGTTTCATCTAGCATGTATCAGTATTTTTACTGTCAAATAATAGCCGTTGTAGGATAAATCACATTTTATTTATCTAGTTCATCCATCAAAGGACATTTAAGTTGTTTCCCCTTTTGAGTTACTCTAAAATTATGATTCTATGAACATTTTCATGTGTGCTTGTGTGGACATATGTTATTCCCTTTTCTTGGGCATGTACTTAGGAAAGGACTGGCTAAGACATATGTTAACTCCATGTTTAATCATTTGAAAAACTGCTGTTTTTAAAATGAATGTTTTCCAAAATGAATGTACCAGTCTACATTCCCACCAGAGTGGGAAGTACCACACTTCTTCACACCTTCAAAAATGCTTGTTATTGTCCCTGTTTTTCATGGTCACTTAAAGATACAAATGGAATGTAATCATAGTAAAATATCATCTTAAATGCATTAGGACATTCATAGGTAGTAGGGCTGGGAAATTTACTGATTTGTTATATCTTTAGGAGTAGATTAATAAGGTAGATTAAGTCAATTCAAAAAAGATCAGGTTATAAAACAACAACTCAACAAATGTATAAAATAACTAAATTACCAAACATGTTTACAGGCTCAGAAGGGTAGAAAGGAGCACAGATTCATGGTTTCTGTAGTCTGAAGATTACCACCAACCAATTTTGCTTCTCTCTATCCTTCAATTTCCTTCCTACCAGGACAGAGATCAGCTTTGTATAGTGAATCTTTTCCAGACTCCTTTCTTCTCTTTTTCAGGTCTTCCGTCACTCAGCTCAGTGGCTCATAACCTTGACAGTGCCATGGATCCTTTGGCACTGTGAAAAAGACTATGGACTTCTTCATAAGGTATTTCTTTCATGTTGTGACAATCCTGGAGCTTAAACTTTCTGTGCTAAAAGCTAGTGCTTTACTACTTGAGCCACAGCTCTTTTTCCAGGTTTTTTGGTAGTTAATTGGAAATAAAGAGTCTCACAGACTTTTCTGATAGACCTGGCTTCAAACCATTATTCTCAGAATTCAGCCTCCTGAGAAGCTAGGCTTACAGGTATGAGCTGTCATGCCCAGCTCATAGTACATATTTTAAAAACATAAAGAAATCATGTAGCAATCCAGCTCTGCACATGCAGCATGAATAACTGAAACAGAGCACTTAAAAACACCATGAGGGTGAAACAATGCAGCAGCTGTACCTACTAGACACTGTTGAAAATGAGCCATACAACTTGTGGGCGGGACAGGAGGGAAAAATGGGGAGTGAGGCTGCTGGTATGAATGTACACTAATACAACCACTTCAGAAAGCAGTCTGGAGGTACCTCAGAAAGCTAAATATAGACTCCCCTGTCACCCAGCCATACCACCCTTAGGCATCTACCCTTATGCAACAGGAATCAGGATATGAGGACACATGCAACTCCGTGTTCATTGCAGCACTGTTCACAATAGCCAAAATATGGAAACAAAACAGATGCCCCACTGCAAATGAATGGATCTAAAAATTGTGGTACCTATGTACAATGGAATATTATGCAGCCATTAGAAAGGACAGAATAATGGCATTCACAGGGAAATGGATGGAACTAGAAAAAATCACCTTGAGTGAGGTAAGCCAAGAGGAAAGAGACAAACAGCACATGGTCTCCCTGATATGTGGATGTTAAATACAAAATGTAAGGAGAGGGGCGGGGGGGGGGGCCGGGGGGAGGCTGGGAAGGGATAAGAAGGGGAAACAAAGGAGGAGGCTACAATGCTTGATAAGAAATGTACTCATTATCTTCCCATCTAATTGTAATCCCTCTGTACAGTATTTTCACAATAAAAAATAAATAAAAATTAAAAAAAATTTTTAAGGAGATACAACAAAGTAAATGGGACTCTAGAAACAAAGGACCTCTGCTCATCTTTTCGCATCATTACTAAATGACCCCATGTTGTTGATCACATATATGGTATACATACATATATATGTGTAAATATATATGCGCACATCTGAGGGAGGCTAGGAGGATGACACAGAATCAGATGGAAATGGGAAAATATACAACAGAAGGGCCCATCAGCTGCACTGGACATTGATGAAAATGAACTAAGCAACTGAAGGGCAGTGATGGAAGGGAGGGAATGAGAAGGAAAGAGGGAAGAGCTTACCCTAAGCAAAAGGAAAGCAATGTACATACAATCTGATGTGAAAGAAATAGTTGTATTGTCAAAGCTCATAGAATTAACAAACTTTACAGAACATGCTAATGACAATTTGCCTCATGAAGATTAGAATGTGTTTGTGACTTCTAGTAACACTATCTCACAATGCTGTGAAATTTGTGAAATTTATGTAATCATTTAATCACAATAAAAAAAATTTAAAAACCTGGGAGTGAGGGAGGGGGTGTCATTGTCAAAAAGAAATGTGCTCATTATTGAATGTAACTGTAACCTGTTTGTCCATCACCTTTATAATAATAAAAAAATTAAAAAATATATGTTCACTTATATATGGCTATGCAATGATTAATAAAATATATTCATAGGAATATAGTCACAGAGTATGCTTGTATTCATGTTTATTATAAAATTATACTTCCGTAGTTATGAAACTAATATATATGACAGGTGAAGGTAGCTGTGTACCAAATACCATCACTAGAACTCCAGATTACTGGTGACAGCTAGACATCACAACTAGTGTTAGTGTATGTTAAGAAAGAATGTATCATCAGGAATGCTTCCTGAAGGGTGTAGTATAAAAATGAGTATGTAACGGAAGGCATGTGTTGAGAGTTCTCAACCAAATACTGTCTATCTGACAAGTTTATTGTGGAGGTGTCTCCTTGAGCATACAGAGTCAGAAATTAAAACCACTCAAACTCAAGAAGACTGACTTGATTTTCATATTCATGCACCAACTTTGTGATAATGTGGCTCCCAATTGTTTTCCTAAGGGAAAGGCAGCACATGACTGATTAGTTATCTGGTTTTCTTGAAGTTTTATTTATTCTTTCTAGATTATGAAACTGGCTTCCAGTTTTTTATATTAGTTAGTTGCAAAATCACCATGGCTATCTGACTCCAGAACACTACATTACTTCACAAGACAGTTTCTAAATTCACAAGACAGTTTCGACCTAGAGGTAACTTCATGGAGGCAAAAGCTACCATAAGAGATTTCTTAAAGCCCATTCATTTGATTAGCCTCTGCTGAGAGCATTCTGACTTTGATAGGTATCTTAATAATAAAACTTGAACACCATTAATTAAGAATGTAGTAGTTTTATAGAAAATAAAAGATTTTGGGGGGATCTAGGAAAATACAGTTCTCTTCTTAGTATTATTACCTAGGCAAGGATAAAAATATATAAACTAGCTGTGGAATCCACAAAACACACTATAAAAGGGAACATGGCTCTATGTATTAAAACTCTGATCTCAAATCGTTTAAATAGGAATACAGGTGGACCCATTGCAACAATGAGATGTACAAGTCGTTAGGTTGAAAACGAACTTTACAACTTTGGTGTGGGGTGGGGGGAGGAGGATTGGGTGGGGGAGCAGGGGAAGGATGGGAAGGGATGGGAAGGGGAAACAAAGGAAGAGGCTACAATGCTTGATAAGGAATGTACTCATTATCTTGCCCATGTAATTGTAATCCCTTTGTTCAGTATTTTCACAACAACAACAACAACAAAAAACTCTGATCTCATCTCTCTACTA